ACAAAATGTGCTAATCAAGCGATGCGCTTATCTTTCTCGAGCACCAATCGTTACAGAGGAACATTATGCATCAGTCTCAGGTGGTCTTGAAAAAATCTGGGGTGGGAACGGATTCTAAACGTGTTCCTTAGCTTCTTCCTGCTGTTTCGGCCTCGCTGCTCTGCAGACGTCACAACCCAAACGTTTCTGAACGTCAACCCTGCCTGTACCTGTTACTATGGCAATGTGAGAGCACTTGCGGCTGCGTGTCATTTGCGCGCGCGCATGCCACCGACCACAGTAGATTTAATTATATAGAAGATGTAGTTAAATTGCTAAAACCACTCTTTTCCACGAGTAAAAAAACAGCCACACTCGTATCGATTGGTGCCAGGGCTTGAAGTGGCTGTGGGGATTTGCGTCATAGCCGCATACGCAATTATATTTTAAATATTTGTCCATATCTCCATGTGTCCATTTGTTAAATTAAAAAATAGAAGCCCTAAGGACTTCATAACTTTTTTTTTGCCCTAAGAAGGAAGTTTATTCTGGAAGGAGACGTTCCAAAAACTTAAGTAGAAGCCAAAATTAAGTGAAAATTACACGTATTTCACGGTAGCCAATAGCATTGTCAGTGGTGTTTGGTTCAGGTTAAGTCCGGCCTAACGTGCCTACTCCGACTGTCATAGGTTCAGTGTGTGCTTTTCACTATTACTCTTCGGAGGCTGGCAAATTATTATGATTATATGATACCGATCCCTGTGCAATAAGATTAGAGGAAGTTAGTGGTAGTGGGTGATTCGGAACCAGGCGGTCTCGATCACTCTGGCCCACGGCCTTAGTATTTGATAACAAGGAAGGATTCAGGAGTCAGTCACTTTACACCCTGAGCCTTTTAATCACTGATTATTATAACATCAAGAGAGTAATTTAATAATATTAAGAACCATGCAGATATGGAGACAATGCACTTCTCACGTCCTGGTGTGTATTGAAGGAAGTCAGGACGAGTATGCCCCTCAAGAAGGGAAGGCTTGTCCCTGGAAGGCGTGTAGTGCTCTTCTTCTCGTGCACAACTGTTCTGGGTGTCCGCCCGGTCTGGAATCCTCAGACACAACTTCTCCGTGTAACTGTCTGGCGTGGAATCCCCTCCTAGTTCGGCTTCGGACCCATTTTAAAGCTTGTTCTTGCCCTCGGGCTTATTTCAAGCCCATCACACGACGATCCGCCACTGAAGGAGAGACATATTCGCCTGGAATTGGATGTGAAACTGTTCAAGACCTGGAAAGTTCCAGATGTTGATGTTTGAAAATTTGTTTTTATTCTCAAGGATATCGCCAAAAAAAAAATTGAAATTTCCTACAGATCGAACTCACAAAACTCAAAAGGAAAACGATAGTATTTCCCACCATAAGTGATAAACTGGGATGGTCTCAGTAAGCAGGGGATGCTTTTCCTGACCGTGCCATGTTAACGAGGTTGTGTGAGGGGGGAAAGCTCTTCGGCGGCGAGGCGAGGACCGTCTGAAATGGCGAATTCCTAGCCTTGATATTTTACGTGTTCTTTGAAGAGAATAACGAGTATTTCACATCCACGATGAAGGTTTTGGAGATACAGGCGCTCAAAAAGAGGCATGGAAATCGTGACCTTTCACCGGAGTGTCAGCAACTGGCTCCAAGACCCTCGCTTGAGGTCCTCTGCATACACACTATAAGAACCATTGCGGTCCTTTTTAAACCTTTAAACTTAACCCCCTAACTGTGCCATTTCCACCACCCATTCCTATTCTTCAGTGCAGATTGTGGCGTAATATGACGACCTACACCAGTGTTTCCCAAACGGTGTGCCGCCGGTAAGGCTTAGGTGTACCGTGAGATTTGAGAGTTGACAAAAAAACTGAAAACCCAAAACTAAAATAGCTTAAAAACAAGAGGGAAAGCCATCTGTCAGTGGAAAACGAGCTGAGAGTTACAGTATCACGCCTCGTATCAAACTGATGGGTTCAGCGAAGCAAGCACAAGTTTCCCATTGAAAGGAAGTAAATGGCTGGGTGGGCCATGGAAAGTTCAGATGTCCTTATTTGTGCTGCAAATAAAAAAAGATTGGGAACGACTGCCCTACATAGTTAAGGTTTTAAGCTGTCAGCGGTAAGTGCTAGGGTTAATCATCTTCTATTGATGCCTCGTATTTTCTTCTGGGGGTCTCTTTTAATCTCTCCACCTCCAGAGACCATTCACTTAACAAGTTCCACGCATTTACTACCATGAAAGTCTTGCGAATAAGAAATGAGAAGAATGTGCTCAGGGACAATAATATAAGTCACATCGCAACTTGGGCCTCACTTCAGGCAGGTTCTCCCTCTTTATGCTGCTACCATGAAGTTGAAAAAACCTACCACGCTCTGTGTTACCTAATCGTTGTCAGGGCCAGCCCTAACTATTTCGATGCCCTGTGCAAAGAGACTCCCAAGGCCCCCGCTGAAGGGAGAAGGATCGATCCCTTACGTCCAAAATGACGCCAAAACAGAAGGTATTTCCCATTTCTGAAGGTTTCTTCATGCACTTATTCACGCTCTGGCGCTCCTGGTGGATTTGCGTCCTGTGCGCAGACCTATGTGGCACATGCCTAAGGCCGGCCCTGATCGTTGTACTTAATTAAGTTAAATGCATGGATGAGATCGCACCGCAATAACTTCCCTTCAGCGAATGCAATCCCAAAGCATCCAAACGCCGCTCGTATGAAAGTCCAGTACCTCCAGCATAATTTTAGAAGCCCGCTTCTGAATCCTCTTCGGCGCCATCATATCTCTTTTATTTTCAGGCCTCCAAAATAGACGGGATTTCACCCTGCAGAGAGCCCACAAAGACTCGCAGTGAACCGGCCGACCTTCCCGCGGGATCGAGCCAGAGCCATCCCGCGAACTTTACGTCGGGTCTCCTGGCAGAGCGAGTTGCCTTCGCTCCCTAGTCATTCCTACTGGAATGCCGCCAGTCCGTCGGCCGCGGCTGAAGCCGAGGCCTGTTCTACCTCTCTCAATTAGTGAGTCTTGTGACGTATTTGCGTTTTAAATACTATTTGTCAACGCTCAGTAGGTTATGTCGATCCCTCGTCGACTCTAAAAAATCTTTTTCACAGTGACCAGTAGTGGAAACTGCGTGCTTCTTGTCATATCGCTCACGATCGGTTTCCGCATGCGTTCTGAACGTGCAATCACCTTCATGAGCTCAATTTTTGTGGTCCAGCCGGTTTTACGAACTGATCTTGGGCGAAGACTTGAGGTGTGGGATGAAGTCCCAAGACCTGGCCCGAACTTGTCCTGTGGTACAGTAATGCACGTGTGGCATGAGTTTTGAATCACCTGGCGCCAAAAATACGTAAGGTCGCAAAATATATTTAATCGAAAATAATTTACAGTCTCGAATGCAATAATTTTGTTGCTTCGAATCGTGAAGAAAGGGATCGTGGTGGATCATTATTATTATTATATATGAGCAGATGGGAATAGATTGCAGTTTTCGCCTTCACCTGGTTGTCGTTTGTCAGGAAGACTTTCTTGGTCAGAAGTTAAACTCCTTAACTTTGCACTCGAAAGTAATTAGAAAGAAAGCGAATAGCACGAGCAACCGAAGCTCGTGACAAATGGGATTATTGATCAAACTGATTTTTTTTTTTGCATGCAAAATTAGATGTATAAGGGAAGGCTTTGACCAACATCGTTTTCTTACATAGGACCCCTTCACCCATTCTCAGGATCTGCTGCAGCTAGTCACACGGGTGTAACCGGCTCAAGTAGATTTTTTTTTGCTCGCTAAAATTCTGGTTTCTGAGCGAGATGAGATTTAAACAAACATCGCTTTCTCTCCTTTGAATAGGACTGCCTGATTGTGCCATGCCACTTTCTGCAGTCGCTCAAACAGGTAGCAGGCACGGTAGAGATTTTAGAATGACAAAGTCTTGTTTTCTATGTGAGAGATGAATTCCATTAATAACATTCTCTTCATTTTGTATAGGATCTCTTGGCAATGGCTTACCACGTGCAGCTCCTAGAACTGGTAAGTGTGAAGAAATTATAATCTTTTCGGCAATTGAATGGAATTTAAAATAAGCGATTGTTTTTGTCTGATTCTTGCCACTGTGAAATAAAGCATGATGCGTTTTTATCTGTGTTACAGAATTTTGTTTAAAGTCATGATCATAAACTTTTTTTTTTAAACTAACTCTTACGGAATTTTCCCTCGAACAAAAAATGTCACTTTCAGTGTGGAACATATTCCCTTCCGTTTCTTCAAGCCCAAGAAACTCAAGCATTCCCAGGTTTTCTCGCTTCTTTGTTCAAAAGGATTCCCCAAAATGTGGAGTGCACATTTTATGATCAGATGAAAGCAAGACGAAATTTTGTTTTCCTCGGTATCCAGATTTTCCTTTTTTTGTCAGCGCAAATTTCCGTTTTTGTCAATATCACCATGACTGAAAATGTTTTTTTTTTTTCCTGTCACAATCGATTTCCCATAAATTTTCTCTGAAAATTACATCATTGTGGTACCATAAAATTTGTATTTGAGATTTAACTTAACACCCTCTCATTTTTAGGACCACCAAACCTGGCCTCGGCGCCTCCCAATCCTCAAGCAGGAACAGCAGCAGCTGCCGATGGCGAAGGTCAGCTGCATTTTTTTATATATCTATATTTTAAGTTGGGCTGAGGAAGAGAAGAACAAACAGAATCCAGTAAGCAATGTAGAACTGAAACAGTACCCAAATACTACATCTACATTCTGCAGAGATGATCTGATAATTGTTATATTCGACTTTCACAAAGAGCAAGGGCTAATTTAATTTGCTCAGCCCTGGTTGAATGGGTGCTATTGTCCGAAAATGCGTTTAATTCTCATACGCACCAACAGTAAGCAACATTCAGAAAAGTAATAAGACCAGTTCTACTTTCGGTTCTTTAGGATATATGGTAGAATATTCTCGTCTTTCTTCGAAAAACTAAGCAAAATTCATTTCCCTTTTCAGCAACCTTCACTTATGCTGGTTTCAAAAGTGTGTGTCCTCGATATTGATGACCTTAGCGTTACCTGCTCATCACTTGTTTTTATTTAAAGACCCAAGTAGCACGTAGGTAGTGGGCAACCACCTATGTTTGGGGAAGAGAGCTGGTGGCCTGCCACCTTTACTAGGTTGTGGGCCATCAGGTACATGTCCCACTTACCAGCTCTAGCCCGCCACCTTCCGGGCCGCTAGAGGGCCAGCACATCACCAGTTTGCTCGTCTGTGGTGTACCACCAGCTGGTTAGGGACCTAATGCACCTATGCATATCTTATTCCCCTCTTAAACTTGGAGCTCTAGTCTATTTAGGAAGAGTTTCTCTGATGACCCACTACTCTCCTTTTCCGCATACAATACGGAACCCTGAGGTGGTGGAAAGGACACTACATGTTCTGTATGGCACCACAATAAAGACATTCTTAGGATATTAGGATACTTATTACACTACCCGTGTCCCTAGTCCCATACTCTTCAGTATTCCCATACGTAACTTTAGCATTTAATCGTTTTCCGAGTCTTATATTGCAACCAAAACATCCTAATTTCACTCTTTCCTCATACATTTTTATAAATTGCACAATAAGAAGAGGAAAGAGGGGGAAAAAACTCTTTTGCTTAATCAGGAAGGTAGGTACTTCATTGCATTAGTAGGGTGCAGGGAACATGGGTACCATCTAGCGGAGATTCTTGGTACTGCATCTGGGGGAATGCCAGCTATATTATGGGATGAGAGGTGATGGCCCTCTACATGCACTAGGTTGCGGTCCAACAACTGCATATCCCACTTGCTGGCATGTTCCGACCCTGGCAGAAATCCACCAGTATAGTGCCTGAGCCACTTATAGCCCACTAATTTTTGTGCTACTTGGTGAATATCTCCATGTATTTCAAACAAAGGGCATTTGTACAACTTGCCCATTCATCTTTGTGTTAGGTGCATAATTCATAACCATGATTTTCTTTCAGAACTCTTATATCATGGCCAACCTATTGGGGGGTAAGGGGGGAGGGGTGAAACGTTATTTTTTTTTTAACATTCAGGGGAAAGGGGGAAAATATACTAGACATTTACAGAAGAGTCAAGCAACATATGGGTATTAAAGGAAATATTTAATTCCACGTTTTCCTATTTCCAATTCATGGCAGTTTGTCTTCTTTTATTTGGTACAGGTTTTTACTATTCTAGGATGCTTGCAAGTGTCTCAAACTCTCAGGTAATTAAATTTTCCTCTCTTACAATTTTGCTTCTGTGGTGACATTTGCATTTTACCAGTTTAGACTTTCATGCGAGCTGTGACACATTTCTGGCTGCATTTTAGAACCAGAGTTATGAAAATGTCCTGAGGTGTTGCATGTGCATGCAAGCCCAAGCTGACACCTCAAAATGGGCCTTCATGGGACCGAAAATATGGAAATCTCTCAGGGGCCAGGTCACAGCTGTATGGGGGATGAGGAAGTCTCCTAACCCAGTAGTTTGATGGTGAACATGATCAATTGGGCTGCTTGTGGTCTGTTGGGTTGCATGGGGGCAAGTATTGTCCTGCAAAAGCTACACACCCAACGTGATCAATCTTAGGCATTGCTATTACGAGGGTGGTTCAATACTTACCTGCACTTTCTATTCTAGAAAATCAACTGGATAGAAAAGAGCCTGAAAGCTTAATATGACAGATAGCCATAATCATCAATGTGATTTATGCCAAGACCAGAAACCCTTGCGCATGCGCAATTGAGTGTGAAAAACATGGGGTCCCGTGGTATATCCTGTGGGGTTAAACAGCATTATTTAATAAAAATTTAACAGGAAAGAGAATGTGAAGGAGGCTGATACTTTCTGAAGATTACACGCACAATTCAGGGAAGACTAACTAGAATGGAGAAGTGTATTTGATTGTGCAAAAAATTTCAAGACGGCCAAAAATCCTTGACAATTCCTGAAGCGTATCCATCCATCTTCTAAACTTTTGTGCCTCCAGTGAACCTCTGGCAAATTGAACTATTTATTCTGGAGAATCGCCATGTTAACGTGCAAGATTTTGCAGTGGAACTTAACATCAACATTGGGAGTGTCAAAAACATCATCCACACTCGCTTTAAGTTCAAAGAGGTTACTGCGAGATGGTTGCCAAGAGAACTAACGTTCGACCAGAAGGCTAACTGAGTGATCACCGCGTTGGATCATCTCAACGGCTATGACGAAAGAGGAGGGCAACATCCTGAACAGTATTTTGATGAGGAATGAAATGTGGATCCAAATGGATCCATCACTTAATGCCGTTATGAGAAAGCTCAAGCATGCAATGGCAACATTCCGCATCGCCTTGGTCGAAGAAATTCAGGGCAATGACAAAGTGGTGAAGTGGCTGTGCACTTGACCACAAACATTCAAATGCCTTGGGCATTCAGGTGTTGCCATAGCCATGTGACAAGTGCATCCGTGTAGGAGGGGAATACCTGCAGAAGGAGGTGTAGTTTTATAAAGATCAGATGTACTGTAGATTTTCTGGAATGAAAAGTGCACATATTGAACCACCCTCGTATATTGCAGGATGCACTTTTGTCTTCATCACATTGGCATAATACAGTGCACTATAAGCAGTGTTGTCAGGCATGACATGTGTTACTGTCTCGCAATAGAGTGTTTTGTCAGTAACGTGGTTTGCTGGCTGTGCTGATTATGGCATGAACTTATTGTAGCACCCTCACATATCAAATTGAAAATGTCTAATATGAGTTCTTTATGGGATGAAGAAAATGCAGGAAAATGCTATTGACTATTGCTGTGGTGAACCTGTTCACAGTGCAAGTTTTATCTGGAGTTATATTAGTATGTAGCCATTTCCTTATCTATGGCACAAAATGCTTTCTTATGCCATCATTCAATTATTGTTGAGAGTTCTTTAAAATATAAGCTCCTTCATTTTCTTCTTTAATTGCAGAAAGGTGTTGGGTATGCCTGAAGAGGGGAGTGTGCATTTCCCACAGGAAAGTCTGGCATTTACGGGCTGTTCACCTTCTAAGGGATCACATGAAGGCCATTAGTCAGACTCTTAAAACTCCAAGTAAGTCCAGGAAGCTCAAGACATGATTTCCATGTCCTTTATTTTTAAGGGAAGATGAATGCTTTTGTATAACTTGTGTAGTGGACAAGCCATCTTGTAGTTGCTACAGCAAACAAGGTTCCCATAACCAATGTGAGATAACACCCAATTAGCTGACTTAGTGAGTAGCTTCCTCATGCTACTGCATTAAGTCTCCAGTACTTTCATACTATACTCAATTTTTTCCTACAGACAACAAAGGGGAAGACATTGGATTCTTTAATACATTTCCCAGCAAAAAGTTCCAGCTAGAAACAGCAAGCATTCCATCAGTAAATGTCTGCTACTTCATCAGGAACTGCAGCATTTCCAACCAGAACTTGTAAATTGGTATGCTATTTCCAGTTGGAATGAACCAGCAGGATCCAGTTAAATTGCTGTATTCTGCTGGATTTTTACTTTTTCTTTTGGAAAATGCCTACCTTCTATTTCCTGATTGGAACCAGTTATGTTTCCTGCATGCAATCCACCTGCCAGAAAAATCTATCACAAGCTGGGTAAAATCAGTAATATTTCCAGCTGGAACATTTCGCTGGGTTGTCTTTTTGGTGCTCCTACTGAAAGGAATTTAAAATCTCAGATGAAATGGAGAAGAAACCTTAAGATTTCCATTGCTTATTATGTCAGCAACAATGCTTTAAAAGACAATTCCTTCTAAGGCAAATGTTATGCTAATCAAATCCAAGAAACACCAATTTCTAAAATTTAATAGAGAGGGGGCACTAGTGTATGCTTGGCCAAGGATATGGAGGGCTGATGTTCAGAGACCTACAGTAGTGTCATCTCAATATATTTTTGGATTAACAATGTTTCATGGGCAAGATTGGTGGGTTGCTGTGTAGGAAGAAGGCATAGACAAAGTGAATAACGGTCATGAACCTAATTAAATCCTTTTAGCATGAGTCGCCATGGAACTTTTGCACTATCAATTTGGAAAATGCTCTTCCAGGAATCATGAAGAATGAGCCCTTCCCCTTGCAAACAAATAATAATAATCACTGGATTTATACATACTTATAGACATTCCATAAACAAAATACACCTGCCTAAAGCACTATCTATACTGTAGTTGGTCTTGGGCCTAACAGGATACTGTCACATCAATTGTTTCTTGGTCAGCCATCATTTCCCTTGTGTGCCTACTAGTGTGAGTCAAGAGTGGATTGATTTCATGTGGGGAGTAGCAACTCAAAATCTTAGCTGTTGCTTATATCTCCAGCATCAACCATGTGAGGAAATGCATCCTCTTCAAATGTCAAAGTCAACTTTTCCTCCCCCATAATTTTAAAAGATATTTGAAGTTCAAGTTAACACATTGGCGACAATGCGTCCTGATGCCAGGATGCAGATTTTTTTTCAATGAAACAAAGATTACGATCAATTTGTTGGTAAAACAATGGAATTCAAAGTGGTGAAAATCAACCCAGAATTTAAAAATGTAGTTGTTTCTCACAAAGCACTAATAGAAGCGGATATAGAAGATCAGCAAAAAAAATGTTTTCTGGGACCATGCATCCTGATGGCAGGATGCATTTTTTGACAAAAAAATGTGCATGGTCCCACGCGGCAGACAAGCAAAAATAGGCAGGTCGTCAACGTGTTAAAACTTAGTAATTCACAGCAATTAAAATATGCTTTAACCATTTTCATGTTGGGCCAACCCGCTCTTTACAATACTTATAGATATCACCCTAAAATTACAATTTATTTATGAAAGAGGTTTTTATATATTCTATAGATGAAGGACAACCTGAAGGAGAATATTGGGGGCTGGTGACCAAGCTTATGAAGATGATTTTCATGTGCCCATGAAAGTGACTGCATGAAAAAAAGTTGTGATTGTACCCAGTAGCATGCCCAGAAAATCCCAATGGGGGGAGGGGGGATGGGTCAATGTTAAAAATTGGTAAACCACCCTGCATATAATGGCAAAGAAAAAAATCTTTGAGAATTGAACCTGTAAAATATATCTCAATGGGGGTGTTATGACCCCAAACCCCCCCACTTGGGCATGCCACTGATTGTACCGACTTGTTGGTACAATGTTGTTCCTTATCTGCCTGCACAGCAGACTTCATACTCTTTGTGTTTCTCATTTCTGTTTGTTCTTTTTTTTAATACTTTATTTCTGTTCCTCGTATCTGTACCTGCATACTGTTCCTTCTGGTTGATATTTTATTGATAACTCTTTATCAACTTGGTATTCATCTTGAATGCCAATGATAAAATGGAAAATGGCAGCAGGCAATCATGTATTGTACCCAGTTGTCTCTTGGAGAAACACCCTAGATAACATTTTCATGGGGCCCACGTTGGCCCTCTGTAGGTTATTCATGTAGGCCCCATGTAATAGTGACCATTGGGCCAATGTTGACAGGAAGTTAAAGTGCAATATTTTACCCACTTACCCAAATAGCTGGTTTTTGCCCTATATTGGCCATCATTTTGTACAACATACCTAAATTCATTATCCAGTGGTGGTATTCCTATCTATAGTACAGAGCCTGTACTATGGTTCAGGCTCTGTGCTATACATCTCCATGTAGTTGTACATGTACAACTACCTGCCATGGAGATGTTTATATGCCCTGGGTAGGCAGGAGACAAGATAGTATAGACCCAGCAAACAAGGCTACATTGGACCTATGTTGTAACAACATTCCAAACGTTTATTTAATGTTGATTCAACATTGATTGAACGTTATGTTTAAAATTTTTTGCTGGGGACTTTGATCTATCTCTGACTACTGATTTCAGTGTATGTCAGAGGATGAACTACCTTGTATGGTTCCATGAAGCATCCACAATAACAGTCTTTTATGTCCTCATTCTGCCATCAAGGTGAGGAAATAGCAGAACTGAATTCACGAACACTCCCTCAAATTCAAAATCTCCTTTTTGAATGAAAAACTACTGATTTTCAAAAGGGTTCTCATTGGGAATATGAGCTTGTTTATGGCCTGTGCTCCATGAATCTGTCTTGAATATGTGGATTACAAATTGAGGAAGTGTCTGTGTTTATTGGTTTCTGTAATGAGAATAGGTGAGACATATGGTGAAGTACTAAAAAATCCTACGAGGAATGGTTCCAGGGAAAGAGGGAAGGGAACTTCTGTGTACTGTGGGAAAAGCAAAACCCGCACCTTCATCTAGTGGTCTGGTGAAGAACTTCAAGGTGTTTAAGTTCTCCACTTGGAGTTCTGCAGTTCCTCTCAATGTGGATATATGCCCACATTGGGCCAACATTGTTCCCAACATTCGCATTCCACCAAGGTTTCCCACCTATACCCAACATTGGCCCAATGTGACATGTTATCTGGGACAGGGAATTGTGATCCTCCAATTGCCTTTCATGTTGTCCCAAAAAAATGAGATTGTCAAAGGAGAAAGGTCATTATTTGTGATCCAACAGACTTGAATAAAGCAAGGAATTTCATTTGCTTCAATCATTCTCTCCAATGACTATTGATGGGCACCAAAAGAATAGGTTTCTTAAGAAGTTAGCTGTTCCTCCTTCTTCCTTTGTTTCAGTGCACTTCTGTGCCTTGAACAAAGTCAAATGCACACAAGGGCAGTACATATGAAACACATGTTAGAAGTCCCTCAGTTCCATCTAAATGTGGCTCTGAAATCATACAGAAATTGAGGCAGAAAATACGACTGAAGTCAAAATGACAGCATGCCAGGACAAAAAAATCTTAAACTCATGAAAGAAGTTAAATTTCTCAATAGAAAACTTGCTAAGTCACTGATAAATATCACTCATGCAATATTGATTGAAGGACATTTGTCTTCAGCTCTATTGCATGTACTTGCTGTAGGAAAGAATGAGGGCCAATCAATATTTTTGCATACTTTTTTTTTATTTAAAAGGACACCCTTTCCATAGTACTCAGAGTAGCACCCTCGGGAGTGCTTCTTCCAACGGGTGCATTTCTTTAAGTTGTTCCATTTCTATCTGCAGTCACCCTCCTTGCCATGCAGTGAATATTCCTTGGTAACATCTTTCCCAAAAAAGTGCTTGCACCATCTGGATGATATCCCTGACATCTCAGCCAGTCATTTCACGAAAGGGACTTCACCTCACTTATAGTACTTATTACACCCTGATGAGATAATTTGAGTCTTGTCTGCATTGAGTTGAGCTAGTAGAAGAGGCAAAGTTATATGGTGCCAAGGCAAAACAATAAGATACCACCTTATTTGTTGGATAGGGTGGATGGGTGATGGTTGTGATTGAGCAGCATGCCAGGAAGTTGGATACTGATGGTGCATGGGCATATTGCCCTGCACCACTTTTATTTTTAACTTTTTTGGCATCCCATCACTACCATCAAATTCAACCTATTCACTGAACTGTGGAGCGAATGGAGAAGTGACCCCATGAAAAGCAACTTTCAATGGACTATTGGTTGACGTGTATTTTTACATTTCTGTTATATTCACTTATGTTCAGTTTTGAGTATTATATTTGTTGCTTACGTTTACTTTTCTTCAATCATAATATTTAATTCATACTTGTGTAACTCCTGTCTAATTTTAACGGTAGTGCCACTGCATGTAAAGCTTTGTGGCAATCGACTTAAGTAGTTCAATTTCAATTATTTAAGAAGCATTTCAGTTTTTTTCTGTATTTAAATAAGTACTTCAAGGTATGGTAGGTTGATGTGATAAAAAGGTTTAGGTATGGGGATCTTGGCTAACTATTTGAATATGCGTAGTTATAGCTGCCAATTTATCTATGCGTTACGCCTCCACCAAGTCAATATACAATCCTAAAATCAATGTAGACCTGAACTTTTATAGATAAGTTTCCCTGAGGATATCAGAGCAAGACCATTAGATCCAGGGATCTATGGAAAGAGCTGTAGAGGTTCTGTAATATTAATGGAGAATTAAGAATTATGTTAATATTGCCTACTGCCAACGTTAGCCCCACCTTGGCCCAGTGGTCACTTTTACGTAGGGCTGACGTATCCTGACGGAGGACCAATATAGCCCCAGTGGCGGATCCAAGGGGGGGGGTTAGGGAACTGCCCCCCCCCTGTGAAAAATTTATGTATCTGCCACTGCATAGGTTCCATCAAAAATGTTACCTGGTACATGATGCAGAGACATTATTGACTGCATAGGCAAATGAGGAAGATGTCAGGATATTATGATAAATATGCACTATGCCGAATATACATCATTTCTCCTCACCCATGATGCAGCAAAAAATTATACACTTGTCACGCATGGAATAAATATTTACAAAAGCTCAAGTGATATGGCACAAAGCAAATAGACAAATATTTGCCATTCATCCTCTGGCCGCCTTCAAAAAAGATAAACTGCAAATACAGGGTGGGCCAAAAGTCAGGACACTTGAAATTTTATGATATTTTGCTTTCGTCCATAAACCAGGAATGTCACATGTATGTAAGCTATTTATATATTTATAAGTATATTTAATAATAATATTAATAATTTATGTTTAATTCTATTCATAATAATTAATAAATAAAGTAAATAAAACAAAATATAATGAAATTTCAATTGTGTCCTGACTTTTAGCCCACCCTGTATATAAAACAGCACCATTAACCCTTGCTTCTTCTCTGGGTATTTTTTTTTTTATCCCACTCTTAAAAAATTAAGTTTTTACCTTATTTATCAAGGTTTTAGGAGTACTTGCCATGTGTAGTACTCTAGTAAATATACCTTAGCAGTGATATAATTCATGTGAGTACTCAAAAATACATCAGGGTCAAAAGAATACCCCAGAGAGATTGTCATTTTAACCCTTTCAGTCCTGAATTATGTTCTAGGCATTGGAAAAATGTCATACTTTTTGGGCTTCAAGAAGGCTAATATAAAATAAAAGTGCCTATAAATTGGTTTCCTGAAGGAAAATAATTATGTATTCAATTATTTTGAATAAAAAAATTAATAAATAAAAGTATGATATTTAATTAGTTCACTCATATCCCTATTTCACGTCGTATGTTTCCAGTTTTCCTGTATTACTTTCCATAATCTAGCTTGCCTTAATTCCGTATCCAGATTGGGTCCTTTTCGATGTCTCATTGATGCAAATGGTCTTGAAATATGCATTTTCTCCTTGAGAGAGAATGAAAACATGTCCATGCAGCCCTCTTCGTCTCTCTTCCTGCTTTCCTCAAGTTTAGAGGAAAATACTACAGCATCATTCCAGATGTTAAATGAACCAGCCGCCCCTGAGGAACTTGGAGGCATATGGAACGTAGTCGAAAGCCCTCTCCCATCTGGCAATACGATTCCGATCGTCTCATGGTTCCACAATTAAGCTTGGGCATCCAGGTCCGTATGTCCATGCATTCACGAAATTTGGTCTTTGATCTCCAATTTGTTTTTTGAAGATATCTGCTGTTTTTAGCTTCAGGACATCTGCCGCTTCGTCCTTGCTCTCTTGGAAACCACAAAGCAGAATATTCTCTCTCCTAAGTTGGTATTTCTATCCCGTGAAGGCGTTTTTGCGTATCCATGAATTCCTTCTTTGCTTCATCTTGTTTATCGAAGGTCTCTCCCCCCCCCCCCCCCTCTCTCTCTCCCTATCTTGCCCAAATTTTTTTTTCAAGTGCATATTTATCATAATATCCTGACATCTTCCTCATTTGCCTATGCAGTCAATAATGTCTCTGCATCATGTACCAGGTAACATTTTTGATGGAACCTATGCAGTGGCAGATACATAAATTTTTCAGCTGATGGGAGTCCATGCTCGAGCTCATTTTGTCAGTTTGGCTAGTCTCCCCGACAAAAAGTTTCAACCGGAAATAGTACTGGTTATACTCGGTTTGTGAGGGATTCTTCCGGCAGCTGGATTGCCGCGCAGGAAATATATCTGATTCCAATTGGGAATTAGAAAGTACACTGTAAAAAATAATGGTTCTCCCAGGAACTCTTTACTGGTTCTACAATGAAACTTTCTAGGAACCATATAATGGTTCCATAGAGAACCACCTATGAAGGCTACATGTAGCACCTTCACAAAAGGTGTCACCTAAAACACTTTCATGAATAACATGGTTCCACAAAGAACCATCACCATTCGGCAAAACAACGTTGTGTCGACTTTAAGCAAAGGTTGATTTCTCAACTTTTGGGCATTCCAGTACCTCCTCCACTTCCTGGGTCTGAACGAGAGCTAATAACGAAAAGGCGACAAGATTGCATGTATATTAGATTGATGATCTCTGTTGAGTACTAAGGCCCGTATTCACGTCGCTCCCCTAACTGTTAAGGGACCCCTAACCCAAGAAAGTTAGGGATCCCCTAGATGTTTCGTATTCACGTTCCTCCCTTAGCTAAGGGATCCTTAAACCCAACCCTAGTGGAAGAAGGTAGGGAAGCTTCCATTTTTCACTTTTAGATGCCTACGAGTTCAATGTTGTAGTTCCTGCAGCACCTCATCAAGAGATCCTGGTATTTCGTTACTGATGACAGTGTCTATGGGTGTAAATTCACCCCAAGGATCCGTTTTACCTTTCTTTAAGGTGATCCAGTTGAAGGATGTCAAATGAAATCCGCTACTGCTATGTAAAAGCCAACCAAAAAAGGATATCCCCTACTCTATATTTACTAAATCTCTGTTCTGACTTTATCTATTACCACGAAATTTGCACTAAGCATAGACTAATATGTTTTCAAGAGATTTGTGGAATTTCATTAAAATTTATTGTAACGAGGCAAAGCTACTAGCCACATTTAAAAGAAGTTGGATTGCAGTCGACAGTATGTCGTGCTGGTAGTTTAGTAGAGGAGATGTCTTCGTTCTGCTGTGTGCATGCCATCCAGGTCGGGTCAAAAATGGAATGCATTAAAATTAAATTTTTTAATGGCTGTGTATCATTTTGATAATGTTATTCTAAAGTAACAGATCAATGGTTAGTAAAACAGAGCTTGCAATAAGGCCCATACTTGTCACACTCCCTGCAACAGTAGAACGGAACAATTAGGGGACCCCTAGGTAAGGGTTCCCCTAAAAATGGTATTCACGTTGGTCTCTTAGGGGGCCCTTAGCTAAGGAATCCTTTAGGGGTGATGGAGGAGAAAGCGCATGCGCTGAAATTCTTTTATCTTTGGTATACACAGAAGTCAGAGGGTATGTATTGATTGCGGCAATTGTTTCATTTTGAGTCCGACACATTTTCAGATTACTTTGATACCTTGCTATAGTACTTCCTATGAATGGGTGCCAAGGTCAAGTGAAAAAAGTGCCCTACTCGACAGCTTTGTCTGAAGTATGAGCATACTTCGTACATTCTCAAGCGTAGACTTAGAGATTCCATTGGTATAATTATCTTCGCACTAACGTTGAGTACCAACTTGGGCCTAGGTGGATGCTCAACGTGTAAAGTTAATTATTTATATTCAATTTTAAAATTACGATGATACTTCCATCATTCCAGTTATCTCCGAGTCACGTCAGGGCTGACTGGCTTCATTGCTTACCGGTTAGTTTTCATATTCTCACGATTAGGTGCAAACATGAGCAGAAGGTCAAGAAGGGAAAACGTTGCTAAGGAGGAGAAGGAAGCATTCAAAGCTCTCCTTCGGAAACACTCTCCAGTTCCTGAAATCAAGAAGTCTGATTCAGTCACCAACAAAGCTAAATCAGATTGCTGGCAAAAAATCCATGTTCCCATGAAAGTCCTGTTTCCCGCTAACGAACCTATAAAGGTCCCTCAGCTCAAAAAACTCTGGGAGAGAATGAAAATGGATGTCAAGCAGGATTTGGACGCTTATTCATTGAAGGTGAGTCTATTTCTTAAGTATACCATCCAACCGGGCTTATCTGGCAACCCTGCGAAAAGGTAATTACCCTAAAAATGGCATTTGTGATGAGATTTTCGCCAAATTGTCGATGGCAACACACACTTTGGTCTTTTGGGAAGGGTGCACGTGCATAAGTTTCCACTTTTTCCCGTTCCGAAAATCGGATTTTCGATAAAGAGGATGTGCCGGGGGGGCACCCCAGGACATCGATGCGGTGGAAAAAGCTCTTGGTGCAGCAGGATGGTATCAGTATCTCAGTACATGAGAATTACCTGTTAGCACCTGTTAGAAACTGAGAAGAAAACGATTTGTAAAGTTAACTCCAATGAGGAACTCTTGCCAAATTAATTAATTCAAGTAATCCTGAATCTACGAATAGGATGTGCAAAAACAACAACGCCTGTAAAACAACGCTGACTCAGCATTGCAAAATTATTGAAGTTTCAATATCTGACATATTGCATCAATGTTTCTCAACGTCGATGCAATACGACAGGAGCGCTTATGAAAGTATGAAAAACTACAAGGGCATGATCTGTTAAACAGGTAAAATAATACTTGTAAACCGTTTTCAGTAACAAAGGCAAAAACTCGAAGAGAACTGAAGAGGCATTTCTGCTCTCTGAAAGAGTGCGACGAACTCGCAGGAGTCTGCTAAGGGCGGCTGAAGGCAACTTCTTTCCAATTTCTTATATCCCTTAGGGGTGCGTTTAGGGATTCCCTAGCTAAGGGAATAACGTGAATACGGTACTTCTAGGGGACCCTTATTTTCCAGCCTTTCCAGGCATCATCTCTTAGGGAACCCTTAGCTAAGGGAGTGAAGTGAATACGGCCCTAAGTCTTTTGGACGAGTGGAGCAAGAAATGGCTCATGAGGTTTAATAAAAGTAAGTGTAAAATTCTCCACGTCGGTCGAAACAACGGTAGATCTCTCGACGCGTTCAGGGGGGGGGGGGGGGGGGGGGGGGGGGGGGGGGGCACCCCAGGACATCGATGCAGTGGAAAAAGCTCTTGGTGCAGCAGGATGGTATCAGTAGCATGCCCAGAAAATCCCAATGGGGTGGGGAGTTGACACGAAAAACTTGGTGACTCACCCTGCATATATGACCAAATTAACAAATTTTTGAGAATCGTATCTGTAAAATGTATTCCCAAGAGGGGGGGGGGGGGGAGTTGTAGGGGTTATGACCCCTACACCTCCTCCTCCCCCCCTCCCCCCCCCCTTTGGGCACACCACTCCGTAGTGTTACCACACATCTCCCGGACATGTCCTTTTTCTTTGATTTAAATGCCCGTCCAGGAGGAAAGTTACCACGCCTCCGGGTTTTCAAGAGCATGTCGTCCTTTTTCGCCTTCAAATGTGATTTCACCAGCTGGCATCACGAGATTTGCATTAGCCCGCACCCATAAATATGCTCTTATCATCAAACTTATGAATTTTTCAGCATTTGCCACCTTATCAGGGAAAGGATTTTTCTTCGATTCTGGTTAGATCTGAGATGGCAAGTTGAGATTGTAAAATCATATCTTGCTTTGGGGAGCCTTCGGGGGAGGACCTTTGTAACTAGTCTTCTTGTGCTTGTGAACATGTATGGGAGTTCAGTCCTGCGCTGACTTCCAGTTTCTGTGTTCTCTACATATCAGAGGTGCCATGACATCTAGAGAGCTTGAGGACATTGAAACAAGGAGACTCTTTCATTGCCTGCAGTGACGGCAATGCCACAAGGGAAGAGGTTCGGAAAAGTGCACAAGAATATCAGAAAACCGGAGCATTGGAAGTACTTACAAGGCTCTCCCTATGGGTTGTGAGAGAATTTTGAACGCACATGCCCAGTTTGGATCAAGGCTGGCATCTGCAAATATTCAGTTGGCATGCTAATTCACAGCCGGGATAGTGATTGTCCTCTGTCTGCCCAGCGGGCCGGCAAAAAGAAGAATTTATTTCTTTTGACGCGTCGAATGTGACTATGATTTGGTGCTAACTCAAAAAAATTTGGTGGTCATTTCATGGCATCTGGTGAAAATACTAAGGGAGAACATTAGGTCTGGTGATGAAATCATTTGGTGAAAGTAATAGTAATTTAGTGATGTAAATTCACTGACCAAATAATAAATCTGGTGATGAATCATTACTTCATCGTGACAGAGTCAATATTACAGTATTTGGTGATGAATTAAATAATGCCCTCAAAATGAACAACCGTGCCATTATCCGGACCCATGTTTTCATTAGGATTGCCTTTACGAGATTGAAGGCTGGTTGGACGAAGGCGGCGACGCGCGAAGAGGAGACAAGTCATCGATGCAAGAAAAAATCAATAGTAGTAGCCGACAATCGAAGTTGTTTATAGTAAATTACTTCATTAATTAATTAAATGATATGCATTGCATCATGTGTTTTATGGTTGGCTAATTCGCCACCTCTAATCGGCAATTACAGCCATCAGATCCTTGAAACATCCCTCTATAGAATAGACACAAGAAAATCCTGCGTCCTTGTACCGGTGGAGAAAAGTAAACCAAGTGTCGAGAGGAGAGCATCCCCCCCCCCCCCCGCACGTGATGAATGTCACCAGCTTGTCTACTTCTCCACTCTCACTCCCTCGCACACTTTCTCACTCATGTTTGTACTGTAGAGCGCGAGATAATGGTGGACCTTGGCCGCGGCCGACCTCGTGGAGAAAGCATGAATGAAGCAGAACTCTCCTCTTACCTCGTCTTTGTCACTTGTCGGGTCAGTGTCTCACCGAGCTCTTGCATTCGTGTCCGAGCTCGATCACATCGTGATAGGTTTCGCATTGTGGAAATGTTAATTAAAACCGGTGCATTTACTGTTTCCCCAGTCGAGAAGTTAGCCGGTTGAAGGCGTGGGGCCTAAGGGCGATCGTTTCGTCCGATTTAATAGGCCTAATCTCACGAAGGTACACAGTTTTGGCGGGAGCTCGTCAATCATCTGCTCCATTACTCACTGCTAAGAGCGAGCCCCTTTTTTTGTTGACAATAGGACATATAATCAATCACATCTTGTAATGTTGGGGGATATGAAAATCGACCCCTCTGAATCGAAATTACACCGTTGCGGCATTTCTGGGAATCTCGCGAGCTTTCCCGGTGCGCTTAGATATATTGATATTATATCGTATCAGGAGAACCTGGTCCAGTTTCATTATTTATTTTAATTTCATATTTGAAGGCTATCCCTGCTTATCTTTGCGCAAAAGAGTTTTACTTGCATCCGACCGCGCTCCTTGAAACTTAGAAAATATACTTTTAAAAATCTTTGCTTAGTATCCCTGATTCATGATCATATCTCTAGCATAGAGTTGTGAGTTTGGTAACGGCTACCGTCCTCGCAGTATTAACCTGTACCATTTCTGGAGGTGCTTATCAGTAATATTATCGATAAATGGTCATCGTGTAAATGTGTAGATAACCGCTATTTCATGCTTTTCGACGGCCTGATTTCACGATTCCGTTCCTTTCTTGCCGGATCGAAGTAGTGCCCAGACAGGAGCCGATGACAGACATGCGACATTGGAGCGAGCAAGGGCCACGAAAGTGCTTGGAGAAATCCTGTTTTTTTTTTTTGCATTTTGTGACCCCGAAATGAGTCAGGGCCAGGGACGGGAGGGGAGATAAGGGAAGCGAAGAGACCTGTCTAGGCAAGGAAAGAATTTCTCCATATTGCGAAAATACTGCTGGCGGATTAGAGAGAGGCACCCGGGTCCCGCTGACCCAATGGAAGCGGGAGTTCCACCCAACGATAGCAGTCAAGGGGCAGTCAACGGAAATGTGGATGCGCGCCACAATTTCACTCCCGCGGGACCGAGACGACACGACATGGTTGCAGGTGCGGTGGTCGACCTGGGGCCTATTCCACAAAAGATTTACTGGTTACAAGCAGTTGCAAGGGTCGTGTCTTCTTTTTCAACTCTTCTAGCTGGTCCCGTTGACACTTCACGCGATGAAGGCATGACCCTTGCAACTACTTGGAACTTGTAGCTCGTAACTTATAAATCTTCTGTGGAATAGGCCCCTGTTCGTCAGGTGGCTTCAGCGCAGACTATTCTAGAAACGCTCATCACTTGTCCCTTTCCTCTGCTCTCTGTTCATCACAGACAGCCCCATTCTCTCGTTTCTCTCAGATAATCTGCCAATTCCATCGGCCTTGGCGCGGGCACGTAAGGTGACATCGAATCAACATTGATTCAAAGTTAGTTAAACGTCCGGATGTTGAATCAACATTGAATCGATGTTGTTTCAATGTTATATGCTACTAGGGCATATATGGATGATTTAACATGATCTACGTCGAAAGTTTGGCCAGAATATGCCAGAATCAGTCGAATCAAGCAGAATTATGAATTCCCTGCGCAGTTTCTTATACGATTCCTATAGGAATGCAGAAGACGCGAAATCGTCCACGAACTGGCACCTTTGCCCGGAACCGCATCGAATGGTATAAAGACAGAAGGAACTGAATGCAGAAAGCATCCAATGCTGAAAGCATCCAATGCTGAAAGGCAATAGTGAAGGCAGAATTTTTCGCCGAAAGCAAGGAATACCGAATGGGGAACTTTTATTACGAATGTCGAATTCAATCTCGAAGGTACGGAAGATCGAATGACATGCTTAACGCAGAAAATTGGAATTTCAACTCATCTCAAGTCAAAAAATGAATAGTCGTAATGAAATGTAATGTCAAGTGAATTTCACGAGCAATATCGAGTGCCAACCCTCTTAGGTTTCGACCGTCTCTCTTAATGCTGTTGATTTTCGAACCATGTTTCCAGCTTCAAGCTGCATGATCTTCTCTTCCGTCACTGCTTGTACTTTCTGAAGCAGCCGAATGAAGACGAAAATGTTCCTATGATCCCCAAACAAGCAAGACTTTCGCCTGTGTCTTGCTTCATTTAAATTTGTTGCAGGCAGGCAGGCAGACTTGATTCATCTCACCTTGTTCCTCTCGAAGACAATATCCATTGAACACACGCATTTCCTTGCCTTTCCAGTCACCCGAGCCTCCATCGCTTACTAACGAGATGATCGACTGCCTTAGAACTCGTATACTAGACCCAGGGCCGTTTCTAGGGGCGGGCGAGCGCTCGGGGCGCCAGCAGGGAAAGGGGGGGGGGCGCGCCAAGAAACACGTCTTTTTTTATGTGGTTAGCGTCCACTTTATCCGAACTAGTGCTAATTGAGACAATAGAAATATTTAAAATTATATTTCATATTATGCCGTGCAGCCTCCTACCAGCGAACAGGTGAGTCTGATATCAATTCCAAAATCTGGCAGAAGCCCCCCCCCCCCCCAAACTTCCCCGCGTACATGAGGCATAACACCACGCTGCGACTGGACAGTACCCAAGCAGAATGTTTACGCAAACAAGATATCAGTTCCTTGGAAACAATGTAAATTTATTGCGATTGCCATGAAAATGACATCACGTTCACGCAAAATTTACGTTCCTATATTTACGTCACCAAAGTTTACGTGTATTTCCCATAAACTTGACGTCACTCCATTTGACGTGAAGTACATGATATCAAGTTTATGCAAAATTAACGCCACACCATCCATAGGAAACTTTAGCTGACCATCCCGCAGTTGCAATACCAAGATTCCTCACTAGATGGAACCCTTGTTCCCTGCATCCGACAAATACTATTAAGTACTGGCTTTCCTGATAGAATATTAGATNTCCCTGCATCCGACAACTACTATTAAGTACTGGCTTTCCTGATAGAATATTAGATTTTCTTACCATCCTTTCACTTTTTATTATGCAATCCATGAATATATATATGAAATCATGAAATTATTATACATATTTTTATAATATATGACTCAGGGAATCATTAAATGCTGAAGTTTAGCTTTTTATTCCAGCAGTGCACGGAATTAGGGAAGAGTAGAATCCCAGCTCTTCAAGTACTAGATCTTCTCTACCCTAAATGGGAGAGAGCTTCTTGAACAACTACTCTTCCTCCCGAGGTTCCACTACGGGAGGAGGAAGTGGTAGGTCGTTTTTAAATACTCTTGAGTGCTGATGAGGATGAGTGTACTCATCCAACCACTCTTTAGTTCTGAAGTATGTAAAGAAATGGGAGATACAGTATATCAATTCATTTCAAAGGTGCTGATGGCTCGTTAAAGGCACATGAATTCCAGAGGGAAAGTGACATAAATCTTGCTTAAAATCAAGGTAAAAATACTGTTAGGAATGCAAACGGGCATGTCAATTTTACGTTAAATTTACGTTAATTTTACATCACCGTTTACGTATCACAGAGGTGACATTTATGCAAACATGTTGGCATTATCTTGACAATGATTTGCGTAAAAATGACATAACATGGACAAAATATTTACATTCAGTTTACGTAAAATTAATATAAACATGCTCTTTGGGATACTACGGATCTTCGTTACAAAGGCACTGGAGAAAGTTCAATGTCCGCATGCATGGTTCTGCGCGACTAGTTTAAATTATTACTGTGATTCTGCCGGTCTTAATCTTTTCTTCGGAATGATACACCTTCCAGCGGCATTCCTGCACTTCCCCAGACCTGAATCTGCAATATTATTACCTCCTCTTTATAAGGAAAAAAACTGGGACTTTCATGAACAGTTTATTTTAGCAGTGACAGTATGTAGTTTTCTTCTTTTTTTTTATTTTCACGTCGATTCATCAATAGTGTCAAACACAGCATGAAACATGATACGGCTTCAAATTAAAGTTGAGAAAGTTGGAAGATTTTGTAATGCTTAGGTAGAACCTGAACTTGTATTTGACACTATCCAATATAGGAGAAAGCGGACATGCAAGTTTGGGGAAAGCAGTCAAGGTGGCTATTCCTAGGTAGCACATACAAATGATACAACGTTTATCTGGTTTGGATCGAATGCATCATTGTTGAAGGTATGCGCTTCCATGTTGAATCAATATTGCTTCAACGCGGTGATTGTCACCGTTTGTACACCCACGCTGAATAAATATTGATTCAATGCTACGCTATTCACGGTGGAAGTGTCAACATTAAATCAGTCTCGGTTCAATTATTTTTTTGCAATAGAAAATCCCTTGTTTTATGTCTACCGTTAGGATTATTTATTCGTACCCCATCAGGGTTCGTTGAATAGTTTAGCCAATCGAAAAAAAAATACTTTCGATCAAGGAAAACGCTCGATTTATGAGAGATAATAAGGTGGTGGAAATTACGCCTGGCTATAATTCTGTCGCAGCAAACAAGCAAAAAGAAAAAAAGGGAAATTTCCCTTTAGCATCAAACATGGTGGAGTTGTCTCAATGCAAACGTAAAATTAGTAAAAGGATATTCAATAAAAATACTTCTTTATTTATTGTTTATTTTTAAAGATAATTAATCGATTGACTTGAAGACATGTTCAAATCTAGGCATATACCTTAGTAATGAACGAAATTGTATTTGTCGGGCTGCATCGGTGTAACCCATAACCTTAAACTTTAAGCCTTTGTTCCTTAAGGGGGGAGGACATGCACGACGGAATTTAGTGGCCCTGTGACTTACAAGGGCCACCTGGGTAAAATATCGGGGAGTAAATTATTTGCTTTTAGGAGGATATCAAGACCCCTGACTTCATTGGTTACCCTAGGTAGAGCACCTAACAATGAATCATTAACCAGACGTTGAATTATCATTTAATAAATGTTGATTCAATGTTACGGGCTACTGGGGAAAGTTCATTTTTCATTTGACTTTCCACCTTTGGATTCAATTTGATTGGATTCAATCCAATTGGAAATTTAAAGAGCAGACAGCGGACTGGACGAACCACCTCTGCCGTATGTTTAACACCCCTGGTGTAGGAGAAGTGGAGTGACACTAGTTAGATACACTCTAATAAAGCTTGAACTGTAATGACAGCTGAAATTATCCTTGCTTTCCTAATTAACAATACATGAGTCTTGTTATGTTATAGTCTTGATGGCGCATGGTCATCATGTAGAGTGTTTCCCATTTGAATCTGTTTATTTTTTCATCATTGCTGCGTAATATGACTACCTGAGTATGGTGAATGCCTTTCATACGTATCGAAGCACTATTGTTTATCCAAAGAATAGACAGACTCACGTGAAACAACTTCGCCTGTTTCAGCAATGCTTATATGTTAAGTTAAAAGACGCTACAGTATGGTATCAATGCTTCTACATTGATTCAACGTTGACCCCATATTGAAGACAGCCAAATTGCGAGAACGTTCTCCGGTTAATGTTGTATCAACAGATGCCTGGCGAGACATGGGAACAACTAAGATTTCCTGACCGCGAAGTGTGATGCGACTACTTGCCCAACATAGTTACTGTATATAAGTAGGCCTCTCGAATACTTTTGCAGCAGTACTTGATGTTTTCTCCAAAAACGACGCTGGGAAAGGTATTTGACTTCCTGCATATTTTCCACCTAAGTGGCAGCTCAACCAAACAGGATCCAGGATAATTCTGAACCGGGTGATGGGCACAAAAAAGATTGCGAGGTCATATTACTCCATATGACCACGACGCCCTGTCTTCGAGAATGAATACAAATCATGTTCACTGCCGAAGGATACGCGGAAGGAGGGTAGCCTCTTATTGCATAACACTAATCACGCCGATGTCCTGATTCCGGGGGAACATCATGCCTCTTTCTCATCTCGGTATTAAGTTCACATTGTCCTTGGATGGGGGAATACTCTTAAAAAAGAGGATACGGAGGAAGAAGATCGTGACCAGATTGTAATCAATAATACCTCGGTCGTGAAACGGCGCATACGGACGAATTAAAGAGATTTTTGAGACGTGTCATATCAACATTGAACATCGTGGATTCAACATGTCTTCAATATTGAAGAAAATGGATATTCAATGTGGAATTAATGTTGATTACCAAATATTGAAGCAACGTTGCAATGTGGTTTCGAACAAAGAATCAGTTCTTGATACACCGTTAATGTGAACGTTGAATTAATTTTAGATAGAAATGAACTTTCAATTTAGAATCGATGTTGAAAGTGCAACGTGGTTTCAACTTTAGCTGTGTTGACAAAATGACGTTGAATCAACGTTGATTCAGCGTGAGTGTGCTACTTCAGTTTTTTTAAACTTATCCCAAAATATTTTATAAAAATTTGCACATGCAGGTGAAGCCCCCCCAGAATATCCTGAATGCCGCCTGACGGAGATGGGTAAAGAATATATCCCGTGGGCTCCGGTTTGACTTAGTCCTTTCTTGACAAACGTAACCTTTCTATTTGGCTTTTCGTTTCTTAACCTTCTGAAGTACCACAGGGTAGAGAGGGAGCTTCTGCGTTCTATACGGGATACCGAACAAGGCTTGGAAGGATGGAATCTTAAACTAGACTGGAACTATTGCCGGAATCCAGGGTTCAGAAAGCGGCCCTGGTGCTTCGTCTCATACGAGGATCTCAGCTGGGAGTATTGCAACATACCCCTCTGCAAAAGTCCTAATGGTATGCGAAGTTTTCACCCAAGTGGTATTCAAAGCAATGAATCGCCAGCACACCAATACATGCACCCATTTGAGTTCATTAAGCCAGACTCAAAAGAACATCAGAGTTTATGCCGACGGAAATAGCAGATTCGGAAAGCTAAACTTCGATATTGCTCATAGATCAGCTTTTAGTGGTAGCTATGAAGGGGAAAAGCTGTCTTCAATTTATACAGGGTGTGCCAGAAGGAGGTAACCAATTTCATTCTTCACATGCACTAAACGTACATATGATTTTATAATATATACGCACGAGAAAGGAAGGACAAGCATTGAAGTATTGTCCTTTATAATTAGATCTACATGTATTTGTTATGCTTCAAGTGACTTAGTGGATTCGTATTTTTTCTTTGGTGTGTCTCCTCTGATTCAAGGGTATAACTAACACTACCAGACTTTGGAACGTGTTTTATATATTCGTGTTAATTTATTAAATAATCCAATAGTTATTTAACTTCTTCTGACGCCACTTCTTGAGTTGTATCTCATGTATCAGACTACGCAGTTGATTGCATCTAAAGGACGCCTTTTACATATTATTAGTAACTGAATCTCTTTCTGCGAATTGATATTTTCCGAGGGAAAGGCATCCGAAGTGGACTACACGTTGAATAGAGCATGTGAAAAATCAATATCCAGCTCTTAATGAATAGATTGCGTTGGTCCATTTTTAAGGCGCGAAAACAAATTGCATTTTCCTTAAGTTTTGGAAACCGGTGTATATCGCTGATATTGTCATCAAAGATCCCTATCATATACATATAGCTCCTTCTCTGAAATCAACCCGGGGGTCAAAATACCTGCATGATATCATGGAGACCTGTACTCATCCAAGAAGACAACATTAATTTTTCCAATCGACACATTATAGAGAAATGATTACTTTTCGGCACATGACTATAATTGAACTGAAATCATGTCTTCAAAAAGATGTTCGAATGCCTTCATATACCATAATACACATTTTATCTGGACTCCCACATCGTAGTAATTGTGGCTAAATTCCTTCCCTTCACTATCACAAGAATGGGAGATTTTGCGTTCAATTTTCAAGAAGTTGGCATGATGACACCAATGTAATAACTACAGTATATTATGAAATTGATGATAGGGTTATGAAATAGTAAAATAAGTAACATATTTTCAAAATGACAAAAAGGACATATGTGTTTCAAATGTCACAAATTCCCTTATTGTGGCAATCAAAACATGATAGTTTTTCTGACTTTGATGAAAGTCATATCAAGCTTTTTTTCAAGTGTAGTAATCATGAAATTGGTTGCCACATGCCTGGAAACCAAAGTTTTTAAAATG